TAAATAACATTTTCAAAAAGGGGCACAACAATTAATTTTCCATGAAGGTCATAATCACATACACTCAGTCTTATGTTCTTTTCCTGGTTCCTCTGGGTTTCTAGCTTACAGTTTCTGCACATATTCCTTACTTTCTATTTTGTTAACAACAATTTTAAGAACATTACAAAAGATTTTTTTTTTTAAATTATGTGTCTGCGTGTGGGTATGTGAGCACTAATGCTGGCACCAGAGGATTCCGAGGCACAGGATTCCCCTGGAGCCACCAGGAGTGGGTACTGGGCACCCAAGTCAGTTGTCTTCAAGAGCACTGTGTGCTCTTCCATGTTGAGCTAGCTTTCTAGTCCATTTCATTTAATTTGAAGGAAGCCACTGTATGTAAGAATATTGGAAGAGAAAATTCTCTTGATAATAGAATGAGTTTTTGTAAAAGTTGTATCCAAAATAACTTGATTTTATTATCTAAGTCTCTACCTTGCAGTAGTCATAGTAAACATGACAGGTTTCATAATGGCACAGAGTTCCTAAAGAAGTCCAACTTTAAAACCGAACATCTTGTGATGTTGTGTTATGAAGAGTAAGTTCACTGTGTGTGTTCTCCAGAGGGCCAGTGTTTGCCCCAGGTTTCCTCCCTTGTGTTGTACTGTCTAGTTAACACAGCAGAAATACACAAATTAGCCAACCGGAACAATGTGTCAAGCATAAAATGTCTGTTAAAATATTTTGTATTTATTAGTGTCCACATGTTTCTAGAATTGTTATACTGTATCAAAATTCTAGGACACTTAATTAATCCTGGGTTGCTCCTCTTGTACCTGAGTCCTGTCAAAAATCTCTCTACAATTATTTAAAAGTTCATGTTTTTAAGAAAATGCTGTTCTTTGGGAGAACACAAGCAGCCCCCACTCCCACACCATGGGAATGCTTGTTTAGTTGTGTGCTTTCAGACATAAGTAAATAAACACTAGGAAAGCTTAAGATTAATAATAATAACAACAACAACAACAACAACATAATTGGCAAGGTCTCTCATTCCAGCACGGATTAAACATAACCACTCTGTTCTCCATGTAAAACATTCTAAGCCATTTAGTTCTTAAAAACCTAGAAGAAAATCTCAAAGTAGCTTTGTAAGCTCAACCCTATCCAAGCCTTGTGTTTAGAGGGAAAACACAGGTTAACTCCTTCCTTGCAAGACTCTTAGCTAGCAGCTACAAGGCTCAGCAGGAAGAAGGCTGAGAGGCAACACCTGCTTTCAACTTGGGCATCTTACCTCCTCATCTAGCGAGGCTGTTCACTTCTTCTGTTCCTATCTGTAAACTAAGTCAAAGGATCAACTCTTCCACTCAAGTCAAAAATGACTCACACAGCAGAGTACCACAGAAGATATTTGGAATAATCTCAGAACCCCACCATCATGAATGCAGCACTAAAGGCAACTCTATATGCTGTCCTAATATTAAAATTCAACCCCATACACCTTAGTCATCATTACTCACTTCAAATACTCTCTTCTTACACTCTTTCTCTAAACTTACCCCTTCAAATACATGTTTGTCAAAGTTTTAACAAATAAGGAAGCAAAATTAAGTCATTTTTTTCTCCTCCCTTGCAGTTAGAATTATCTTTATTCTGTTGGACAGTCATTAAGATTGAATTCTTCAACTGGGCAAGGTGGTACACACCTTTGATCTTAGCACCAGGGAGGCAGAAGTAGGTGGATCTCAGTGAGTTCAAGGCCAGCCAGATCTACAAAGTGAATTCCAGGACAGCCAAGGCTACACAGAGAAACCATGTCTTGAAAAAAGGCAAACACAAAACCAACCAACCAACCAACAACAACAAAAAACTGAATTCTTCTGTATTTACTGTGTATTTAGTAATTAGTAATTTGAACATAATTTAAGTTTTATATCCAAAGGCAGCAGAATAAACCTGTAGGCTTCATAGTCTTACCAATGACTAATGATGCCTCAAAAATATTCTTATAAATTCTAAGCTTGAGAAATCTCAATCAGTTTTTTAATTCACTAGTTATTAAAAGCCCCAAACTTTAATATTTGTTTGTGTGCTGCTTATATGCTAGAGAAAGCAATTGAGACTCATCTTTGGGGGAGAGGGTGCCAATAGTCAAAATGAACAGAGCAAAAAAATATTTTCTTGTTACAAGAGCTCATGAAGGCAGTGATCTTAACTTCCAAGTGACATTCAAAATATGATTGTAGCTAACGATCAACTAAATTGATAGCTATATATACTTTATGAACTAAATAAGCTGCTGTAAAATGTGTTAGAGAAAAATGGGTGGTGCTTTTTTTTCCCTCGTGTTGATATAAGCTAGTAATACCATGAACTTACTTTCTTACGTTATAATTATAGGCAATACCAACATTAGGCAGCCTCCCCTAATGACTTACTCATTAAGAAAAGGTGTGTCAAAAGGACACACTTTGCTACACCCATTCAGGATAGTGTGTATCACTCCTTTAAAAACATGTGATCTACCTAAAGAAGTTGGGGAAAAGCTTAAGTGTCTACCAAATAAGTCTCAGAGAGGCCTGTGTGCTTATATGCTGTGTTTTATTTTTTATTTATTTATTTATTTATTTATTTATTTTGCTTTGCTTTGCTTTCTGAAAGCGAAGGTCCTGGCACAACACTGAATGTGTCTTCTCTAATCTCAAGCTAGGACACAGCAGTTTAGAAAAAGGCCCCCCGCTGTCCTGCTTTCCTTCCCCTTGTGCGGTCTGCATGGCTTTGGGTCATTGAAAAAGCAGCGGAGCCTGTGTTACCTGTATTTCCCTGGCGTGGTACACGATGATCAGACCGAGCAGGATGATCGTGGAGAGACTGATAAGGCATTTCAAAGCTAAGGAATACAGCGACGCCTGCAACACAGTTAGATGGAACACTTTAATTGAGAAGCAGTTTGAACCACCTTCCAGGCACGAGAGTCAGTTCCGAACACGTGGACCTAAACTCAAGGTAGGGGAGTCGGGTGGGAGGCAATCTGTCATGACTCTGGGATGCAGATTATTTGGCCTCAAAGCCAAATGAGGGGAACCTGGAACAAGGGAAAACTTACAGCTTGAAGGCTGGGTCCGCACCATCAGTGACTAAAACAAGGCACCTGACTCGCTAAAGGCTAGAGAAATTCCTCCGGAGTTTCAGCACTTTAGGTTGAAAGGTGCCTCCGAAACTTGAGCACCTGGAGAGGAACTCGCATGCTTTCCCTACCGACTCCAGGAGCCACTTATTAACATGCCTGGACGCGGTGGACACTCGGAACCCGGAGAACTTTCCTCTCTGAGTTGCCCAGCTGACCATGCATGTGCGTCCTAGCTGCTTCTGCGGCTCGGATAGGCATTCATGATAGTCCCGGGGACACTTGCGACCCTATAGGCAAGGGGTTCCCGCCGGCGCCCATCCCGACCACCTGACTCCTACTCCGGGAGAGTACTCAGGGGCTAAAGCCCGTACCTTGTCATAGGCGCCCCACGACAGCTCGGTCTCGATGACCATGACCACGATGCCGAACATGCCGAAGATGAGCGCGTAGTCGCTGAGCCGCTTGCGCTTCTCAAACAGGGCGCGCCGGTGGCCCAGCTTGTAGCCGATGTTCTGGTTCTTCTTTTTGCTGGACTTGGTGCCGCTGCTGCTGCCATGCCCGCTGCCGCCGCCGCCTCCGGTGCTGCCTCCGCCGCCGGTTCCGTAGAGCGCCAGGTTGTTGGAATTGTTGTGCTCCGGCTTAGACACCACGATCTCCGGGGCTGAGGAAGAGGCGGCGGCGGCGGCAGCAGACGGGGAGGACGCGCCACCACCTCCTCCTACGAAGGACGCGGGGGGCTGCAGGGGCTGAGCCTCGGAGTCCATCTCGTGCAGGTTCCGGCGGGACGAGCTCAAGTTGCTGAGCGGACGCATGACGCCCCCGTTGTACCTGCAGCTGCTCATGGCTATTTCGGTGAAGGGGTTGCTCTCGCGGCGCGCCTGGGGTTGGTGATGCTGGTGGTGCGCCTGGTGCGGGTGGTGGTGGTGGTGCGAGAGCGGGGGCCCGGAGCCCAGGCTGCCCAGGCTGCCTGTGGGGCTGGCGGCGGGTTGCAGGCTGTGGCACTGGTGGTACTGGGAGGCGGACGCGGGCTGCTGCGCGTACTGCTGCCGGAGCGCACTGGCATGGCTGGACGGCGTCAGCTCGCTCACATTGAGCTGGCTGCCCCGGCGCGACGAGCAGCAGCAGCAGCACGAAGAGCCCGACAGCGGCGAGGAGGTGCGGGTCCGGAAAGCGCCGCCGGGCGAGGAGGTGCGGAGCAGCAGGGACAGGTTATCCCCCGCCCCCGCCCCCGCCGCTGGGGCACCGGAGGAGGCGCAGCTGTTGCACCGGAGGCATGGGCTGCTGCCACCGCTGCCCGGCTGCTGGTGTGCGAGGTGCGGGTGGTGGTGAGGGTGCGGGAGGGGCGCGAAGGGCGCGCACGGCTTGTCCTGGCTCTGTTGCTGCTGTTGGCAATGCAGGTGTGAGGAGCGCGGCGGTGGTGGCGGCTGCTCTGGGAAGAAGCCGCGCTGGAACTGCAATGGGGTTTCCATGTCAGGGCTGTTAAAGCTGCAGGGAGACCAGGCGGTGGTGCACCCTGCGCAATGCGTTATGGTCGGGAGAGGGGACTCCTGCTGCTGGTGCGAGGAAGGGCCCATGCCGGCTCCGGTAGAATCCAGGCGGCGAGTCCGATTGGTTGGGCGCACCAAAACAATGGGCATGACATCACCTGCGGGGACCGAGACTGAGTTTGCGGCGCGCGCGGCTTAGGGGAGCAAGTGTGTGAGCGAGGTTGGGAGGGGGAATCTGCAGAATGGAAAGCCAGGGGGGGCGCAGGCAGGCTCCAGCCGGGGAGGACACTCGAAGGCAGGGTTCCACCTGCGGGTCCCCCCACGTCCGGGACCATGGCTGGGAAAACTGAGCTTCCCCGCGCTTAGCCGCGGGCTGCAGTGGTGGGGAGAGAGCTGCTCTCTCTCTGTCAAAGCCCCCTGACTGGTGTGGGACACGTTAGCCCAAATGACCTGCCTGGGGCACTGCAGCTTGTCTGGCCACTCTGGCCATGGGGCAGGCGCCAGGACGGTGAGAACCCGAGCCACTCTCCCGCCCTCTCTCCTTGAAGGGCCACAAGACAGCACCTGCTGGCCGCATCCTCTCTCCCCGGATCGTCTTTCTGAGAGTGGGCTGCAGGCTGCTGGCCAAGTAACTGCGGGGGCGGGGGGAGAAGTCGGGCGACTGCCCACACGAATGTATCAGCGTTGGGGGAAAGCCGGCGCCGGGTGCCCGGTTTGGCCTCTGAGGGATCATATCCGATCCCTAGCAGGGATCTGTCCCTGTCTCCTAGCTCCGGGAGTTAGAATTGGGACTGGCGGCGCTGTCGCTCTTATCAGAGAGCTTTGCAGCACTGGTAGGGTTAACCTCGCGACGCCTGGGCAGGGGGAGGAGGGGGCGGGGCCGGAGGAGGGGATCCCCGGCGTCCGGGGAGGAGCCCGCTCGGGTTTCCCGGGTCCCCCTGGCGGGGGCGGAGGGCTTTCCCCACTACCTCCCGCTCACATTTGCGCGTTCTCCGGAACATGAGGGGCTGGCGCCCCTGGCCTCGGGTCCGGGACTTGGGCGCTCAGGCGGTCCAGCAGCCTGAGTGGGTAGGTCCGAGGAATACCTTGATGTTGCAGACGAGCCTTGTTCCAGGGTCTGGGGACTGCTCAGCCACCGCAGACCGCCAGTTTCTCTGGGCTTTCCTCTTGCTCCAGACCTGCAGTACAGACACAAAGCAAAGGCGGGTCACTAATGCGCAGACGCCAAGCATCTTCCTTGTCATGGCCAGACTGCAGCGGCTGGGCGAGGGGCCTGATGAAGGTTGACTGATGCCAGTAGCCATCTGACTGCCAATTATTTCACGGTGGTGATTCGACTGAATAATCGCTGCCCTTGGACAGGGAGTGTTACTAGACTTAGATATAATGATTAATTATCCTCTCTTAATAAACCAGTAAAACTACACTTTGAATTTTGCCATGGTGTGTCCTTATTGAGCTATACACAAACAAAAACGGTAGGAGTTTTTTTGGAGGGCTCTTGATTAATACTCCATCATTAAGTCTAACATTTGTATTTCTTTGAATTGAAATTCCTGTCTTCCTAAATAAAACAATACGAAATTGGTCAATTAAATGTTTCAATTTAAAATTGTGAATTCAATAGTTTTTATGATGGAGATTGCTAACAGATTAGATGAAGACCTTAAAGCGAAAGCGGATCGCTCTCATTAGGTAAATGGAATTCTCAGCTGGATCCAATTTCTTGACATTCTACTCAGCAGCTGCCCTAAAGTTGCTTACCAGGTATCTGCTTGAAAGCATGTGAGAGAGAGAGAGAGAGAGAGAGAGAGAGAGAGAGAGAGAGAGAGAGAGAGAGAGAGAGAAAGGGAGGGAGGGAGGGAGGGAGGGAGAGAGAGAGAGATAGTTTTCAGTGCCATTGAGTGAATAATTCTGGATATTCTTTGCAAGTGTGTTAATCAGTTGAAAATATTCCAGCACACAAGCAAATAGATTAAGAAGGAAAAGGGAGAGAATTGTGTTTAGCGCCATAGTCTTAACAGGAGATACCGAATAATCAGGGCTTGGATTCTTTAATAATCTTGGTTAAGAATTGAATTTTAGTGACTAAAAATCAAAGGCATTATTCTTATCTATTGTGGGAAACAAATAGTGTTTAGTATGAAGAGCTTTGCTGAATTTTGAGGGCAGCTCATAATGCCCCTCACATGTGTATTTGTGCACTACTATGGAAAATCCAATGAAAGAAGGGTGTGGTTGCAAATGCCTGAGAGACTACACTTGGGAGATAGAGGCAGGAGGAGAAAGAGTTCAAAGCCATCCACACACATAGAAGGTCTGAAGACAGCCTGGGCTCCCTGAGGCTGTTTTGAAAAAACAAAAAAGGGCTGGGTATGGTGACACATACACCAAAGTATTTAAAATAAAAGCTTCCAAACGGTTCGTCCTTTAGTCTGAAAATATTTAATTCAAGCATAAAACCCACCCAATATCTCTTAGCACACCTTGCAACAAGTTGTATAGGTTTCTTTTCCATTGCTCTTCATAGGTGCTTGAGTGAAGTGTTTGATTTGTCTTTATCTCTAAATACTTCAAAGAAGTATATCAAAAATTAATGTTCATCACCTGCTCATACATTTGGAAAAGATTTCGTAGGTGTCTCCCCAAATATCACAATAGCTGTTACTCGTTTTAAATTATACATGAGGCTCTAGACTTACTAAAATGTCATAAGGGAAACAAAAGATGCACCCTCTTGTGTTAAGCTTAAGCTGACTTTCTCAAATATCAAAGTGAAAGCTTCCCACCGGCTTCAGGCAGAAAAAAAAAAAAAAAAAAAAAAAGGTAAACATTATTGAACCTTGTGCTTTCAGCTGTGTGTGTGTGTGTGTGTGTGTGTATTGCATTTTGTTTTGGAATGGTTACTGAGGTATGAGTCCTTTTCACAAAGAAAATATTAAAGACAGAAAGCCAAAACTCAGATTGACCTACTTCATCGTGGCCAAATTAAGAGTTTATAAAATAATAACATGAAAGTCACTGACTATAGAGAGGGTAGAGCAGGCCAATGAGATACTCATTGTCCTTCCATTAGAATAAGTTGATCAAGGTTAACGACACCTTGCTAATACATGCCTGTGGCTGAAAAGGGCTGGAAGTCTTTTAGAATCATGGAGAATATCACGGGCTTAGAAACAGAACAGTTGTTTCTTGTTTGGTCTGAAAGGTGCTCGGGCACCTTTGACAATTGCTATAAGCCATGACAGGTGTCAGATTAAGACATCCTTGTTTTGTCCATTTCTGGTAGATGGCTTTATTTTTAAATACAAATTAGTTGATTTCTCCCTTTACTGTCTAATATTTCACTTGAAGACCAGCACAAAAGCTGCTGTGATATAAAAGGACAGTCACTTGGTAGTATGCCCTCAGGTTCTCCAATTGCTCAGAGGAGAAGAACCTGTACCCTGGGCTGGCATCCAGCCTCTATCAAGGACTTCCCTGAAAAGGCCCATGTAGAGGTAGGTGGGTGGATCCGGAAGACAGCACTATGCAGAATGAGAGCGGCATATTCAGCAACACAGATAACAAAATCTGGCTGGGTCCTGCCTAGACTACTTCCTGTATCAGCATAGCTAACACCAGAGAGGTGAACAGCAAACAAGCTAATGTTCAGCAGTCAGCATGGCTAGAAATAGGACTCGAGGCTACCTGGGCCAAGGGGAAAAGATGGAGCAGGAGGCAACTGCAATTTGGAAGGCTCAGGTTGTTATAAATACATACAAGGGAGTTAAGCACTCAAAACAAAACTTGTTATATAAAAGTTGTACAAAATGTAGAAAAATCTTAATAAAATGGTCCAAAAATATAAAATTTAGTGAAAATATAAAAGTATTAACAGTTGACATATTGGTTAAGTCCCACCAGATGGGGCACTGAGGGCAGGTGCCCCCCCCCCACACACACACATACACATACACCATGGCATATACATTCGGACGCACATGCTGGTAGCTATGCTTTGGGTGTCTCAACCCACAAGGCTCACCAGGAAGGAGTCAAGGGTTGCATGCTGAGTAACAGCAGCTCCAGGCAGCCCCTGACATTAGGGGTGCTTGCCATGGGGCCTGGTTCAAGGTTAGACGACATTTTTTAAGTTCACATGCAGACATTTAAAATACAGTTACTCTAACTTTGGGGAAATTTGTTCCTATATCGTCTCAACCCCAAAACATGGATATATACACTATGATTAATAGCAGTAACAAAATTACAGTTATAAAGTAGCAACATAAATAACTATGGTGGGGGTTGTCTCTACAGCATGGGGAACTGTATTAAAGTGTGGCAGCAATAGGAAGGTTGAGAAGCACTAATATATAGGATTATGGGGATAAACTCAGCAACGCTAAGCAATTAAAGCAGAAAGACAGTACTTTTTAGGTGGATGGTGTTTTAAACTTACACCTTCCAGTAAGTGGGAAAGGAAGGGCGGGGGGAGGAGACAATGTGGTTTCCACTGAGAAGCTTTTATGCTTAGATTTCTTCCCCTTTCAATTGAGTCAAGCAAGTGCTGGAATTCCCCTAGATTAACACCAGAGGTCACAGTCACCCGCAAAATGCACTTGCAATCTAATCAATTAAATAACGTCTCTATTTTAGCATCCTTTCCTTTCCTTCTTTTGTGGCTATAATTCTATTTTTTCTTAAGCCCTCTAAGAGTGGCTTTTCCATATTTGTTGTATGTCAAATTTGTGGACAGTCAGTCACACACTAACATAACCAACCCATAAACACAGTCATAGACTGGGCTTTCTGAGCCACAGATGCCTAGTTTTAGAAGCTTCAAGTTGGTTTTACTCTGCTGTCTTATTTTATTAAAATTTCTCCTATGTTCTTTTTTGTTATTATTATTTTATTCTGTTTAGGAATTGTTTGTACTTTCTTTCTCTTGACCTAGGTGTTTGAGGTTTATTTCTGACAGGCAGTCAAAACAAGAGAACATTTATCTGTTGCCTACACTACATAGCTGGAGCAAAACTTTGAATTAAAAAGCAAGCATTTTTGAGAATTGTTTTTCTTTTTCTTTTGCCTGTCTGACTGAGTCAGTTCTTTGCTAGTACTGAATCCAAAGGCTATGATGAGATACAGCCTCTCTGAAGTTATTTTCCTTAGCAATAGATTGAGGGGAATCAGGATAGTATCAATTGTTTCCTTAGTACAATTCCAGGTTTCTTGAAAGATAACAACTCATTATTTTTATATCATATATTCCCAGTGTCACAATTAATACATTATATTTGAGGCAGACATTAAAATAATATATGCAGATTTGATGCATGTATGCATACCTGCAGTATGACAATAAAGTACTAAACCTGTATTAACCTGTTTTCCAAAGGCTAATAAATCATGGTGGATCCAAGCCATTAATTTAATTAACTTTTCTAATGATTGTTTTATTATCTTCATTGTCTTCTACTATTTCTCAACTTATTAACATATCTACAAAGTCCTAGAAATGCTAGCAAAACACATAAGGTAAAAATCATATTAATCTTGCTGGCAGAATTGAATCAGGTACTTATTAAATGGATGAAATGGCTGAACTTTTGAGTAATAGTGGTTTGTCTGTGGATTTCCTTTGCTATTAGAAACTGAAAGGCTGAGGGAGGGTGGGAGAGAGGGGGACCACTATTTGTTGAAAACCCAGTAGGCTATACAAAACTTTCTTATGTACTGCTCTATTTGTATCTCACAAAAACCCAGGCGAAGACAGAGCAGGTTTTTGTTATCTCCATTTTGCAGGTAAGGAGATGAACTAAGATAGTGTCTTCCCTACCTAAGGTGACATGGGTGCACAGCAAGGACAAGCCAGATCTCTTATCAGTCTTTTGGGTCTGTGTGGTGTGTCATTTTTACATCCTAGGAGCCTTACTTCATAGATGCATAACATATGGGTTGCATCTACTCACCCAAGAATAGAGAGCAGTACCTCTGAATAGATAGTGGTACCTCTGAATGCTTTCTCAAGGGCTCTTATATTTACTGTTGACTCTTGTTGACTTTCATTTGATTAACAGGATAATTTGAGAGAATTTAATGTAAGTGTGGAGAAAATGGAAGAACTTTCTGTCTGCTGGTCCAAGATGCCTAATTAAAAATATAGAGAGTGATACAGGAATAGAAGTGCTTTTCTTTGTAAACAAACAACATGATTCTGATATGTCCACCTATACTCCATACTCTTTTGCTGACTTAGCTACCAGTCATGGCATTCCTTATTTGGGACTAAAACCAACAAAGATCAGTGAGGGTATTCCCTGGAACTAGTGAGGGTTATTTTACCTGTTATTATGCAAATGAGGAGAAGGCTCTTGGTCTTGCAACTCAAGATGACTTTCCCTATTGTCATTCTTGGACCCCCCCCCCAGTATCATTCTTGCT